AGCGATTCTGTGTTTTGTCCTGTTGAGCCATTTAGCCTCCACAGAGCCTTTGGTCATCTCTACTGCAGGCTGTCCTATGCTATCCAGTGCCTGCACCTCTTTTCCTTCAGGCTGAAGACACCATCATAGCGCAGGGTAGTGTTAAAAGCCTTGCATAAATGCAGGTAACTGACACCCACTGCTGTCCTCTCACCCAGGAATTCAATTCTTCCATGTCAGAGAGCAGTGTGGATGGTCAGGCATGATCTAACTGAGCAAATCAAGGCACTTTTTCTTTCAGAAATAGGATCCAAGAGGACACACTCTTGGACACACTCCTCAACCAAAAGGAATTTGAGCAGCTTTTCTTCCCCAGTTCAATCTTGGGATATTTTTTGAAAGCTGCAGACAGTGTTGGCCTTTTGGAAGTGCTCAGGAAGTTCCCCTGATGACCTGTCCAATGAGACACAGAGCAGTGTCACTGCTCCTTACTGCCTGCTCTTTCAGCACCCTTGATGGAGTCCCTCCAGGCCCATGGACTGGTAAAGTTTGAGTTTGCTCAAGTGACTTCTGACTTCATCCCCACCCACTGCTGGTTGTTCTTCATGGGCTCTGCCTCAAGGCCCAAAGGCATGGGAGACCTTGCTGAATCAGACTGAGCCAAAGGCAGCATATTATATCTCAGACCTCTTTAAACCCTTTGCATAAATGTCCCCACAGAGTCTTTCTTTCTTCTTTAACTGTAACTTCAGTAGTAACAGCTCATCTTGGTGCTGCTGAATTTGCTTAGGAAAGGCAACTGAATATTCCTACGGACCACTGCTTTACTTGCAGAACAGTGTCCAATCAACTACATTGAGCTCTGCTGCCTATCAGTGCTCCTGCTCATGAGATCCTTCTTGAAGGTCCTTGGAACAGGCCAAAGTCTGCTCCTCTGAGGTCCCAAGAGCCCATATATGCAAAAGCTCTTCTTCAGAGCAGAGCTGTCCTTAAAGTATATGGTAAACGGCAATGTAAATCATAGAATCATGGAATCATAGAATGGTTTGGTTTGAAAGAGACCTTAAAAATCATCCAGTCCAACCCCTGCCATGGGCAGGGACACCTCCCACCAGACCAGGTTGCTCAAAGCCCTGTCCAAACTGGTCTTGGACATTTCCAGGAAGGAGGGCATCTACAACTTCCCTGGGCAACCTGTGCCAGTGTCTCACCACCCTCACAGTGATGAATTTCTTCCTAATATGCAGTCTAAATCTATCTTCTTCCAGTTTAAAACAATTCCCTCTCATTCTATCACTACCTACCCTTGTAAAAAGTCCCTATCCAGCTTTCTTGTGAGATGTAGACTATGAAGTAGGTGACATGAAGTGTCCACAGAGTGAGCAAACCTTGCTCTCACCATTGCCAGAGGTAAGCAGGGCTCACAGGAGACCATGGGACATTACAGTCAGTGCAGATTTAGGAGGTAGAGCTGATGGGGAAGAGAGAGAGATATCTTCCCTATGGCACGTGGCTCAATTTGGCTGGATCAGTAGCTCCATTGGCTGTCCTGAACTTGGGCAGCATTCTACTAAATGTAAGCACATGCTGTCATTTCAGTTGGCCAAAGGAATTCCCCAAGGGCCACCAAGATGATTCCCCAAGACACTCCCATCCCTCACAATTGCTGTGTTGCAGCTTGAAGTCACCTGCACCTGCCTTGCACCATCCATGGCCCCTCCAATGTCATCAGGTGTTTCCCCCTGAGTCCCCCACTCCTGGTCTCCATCTCCATTAACCAGCATGGAAGCTTAGACTAGGAGCTCACACCTATTCTGTCCATGCTGAGCTGAGGCAAAAGGAATCCCAGCTGCTGTGGGTCTGAGGGTGCATGGGAGAAGCTGAATGCCCCTCCAGCCTCAGGAACACTGATGAGAGCTGAGATGCCTGCAATGACTCAGCTCAATCCCTGCCCTGTACAGGTGGAAATGATCCCCTGCCTGTCACTGCCTGTGTGCCCTGCCTGGCAATGGGAAATGAATGGGGGTTTCCAGAAAGGAACATTGACACCTCCCAGAAACCCACACTCCCTGGTAGAGCAATTCCCACTGCAGGAATCAGTCCATCCAGTGTCTAGAGAGGGACAGTCAGCGATGACTTCAGAGCACTGCAAATTGTGTTTACCATGCAGGACCTTGTCAGCTTTGGAGCCCCAGGGACATGTCCAGGCAGTGGGAGGGGGCAGAGAAGGCGCTGCCTTGGGCTGGTCCTGTGCTGCAGAGCTGGGCTGGGCTCCTGGGATGGAGGGAGCTGATGACAAGCGGGCAGTGCTGCACAGAGACAGCTCTGCCCAGGAGCAGCTCCTCTGCAAAGTGCAGCAGGGCTATGGGCACTGCCTGCAGGCACCGAGGGGAGAGGAGCTTCGCAGAGAGAGGTTGAAGGCAGCCTGGGGTGGGAAGATGCTGACAGTTCACTGAGGAGAAATCTTCACAGCCCTTAGCACAGTAAGTCTTTGGCTGCAGGGCACATCTTTGAGGGATCTCCTAGACCTGGCACATCTCATGGCTTGTCTGGAGAAGGAGGATGTGCTGCAGATCAGATTTTTCCTGCTGCACCATCGGAGAGACAGGGCATGATGTCTGCCCTCTCTCAGAGACAGCTTCAGGGATGTGAAGTTGGGTGTGCAGGCAGGTATGCCCAGGGCTGTCCCTCAGAGCAGGGTCCCTGCACCCCAGGGGCTGTGTGCTGGGGCAGGGACTCTCTCACCTGCCAGGGTCAGCACTCAGCCTGCCCAGGGAGCTCCCCACAGCACGGCGGGGAGAAGCTGTGGGTGGAAGGAGCGATCCCTGGCAAGGCAGGCAAGGATCTTTCTGATTTCAACAGGGTGCAGTGTAGTTCAGGACTGGTCACTGCTCAATCACCCCAGGACACGTGCAGAGGATCCTTTTGAAGAAGCACATAGAGGCAGCATTTACCTGAAAGGGAAGGAGTCTGTGCCTTGAGTTTTCTCCTTATGGTTTTTCTGTGGTAGTGGGAAAAGTGAATTTCTTTCTTCTTTCTGGAGAAGGCACAGAGAACCCAGCTCTCATCTGAGCTGTCTCTGAGCTGCTGCACACACAGAGATGCTCCCAGGCAATGCCCGGTCGTCAGGTGGTGTGTGTAGGGCAGAGCTGAGCACACAGTGGGTGGGATGGGGTCTGTGAGCAGAGACAGGGAGGAGGCCAAGGGACAGAGGAACAGCTCCAAACAGGGAAGCTTCAGGCAGCAGAGACATGGGCAGAGGGTGAGGGGGAGCTGCTACCAGAAATTCCATGTGAGTGAGGATTTGGACATGTCCCTGATGTCCCCCACAGTGTAGACACATTTCGCAACACAACCTCCAGTCTCCTCTCCAACCCAGCAGAGCCTCTGCCTTCAAAGCCATGGGGTTCAGGTCAGGAATCATTGACTCAGCAGCTGGACCTGCAAGAGAAGGGTTCTCTGAACATGGTACACAGAAAAGATGCTCAAAGCATGTGCCCTACAGTGTCGTCATCTGAGAGGTACATGGCACAGCTGGGTAAGGAGAAGTCTTCATCACATGCCCCTATGCCCTTGTGTCCCTGCTTCATTTTTGCATTGCAATATTCCGTTGTGTTTCTCCACCTGTCCATGGTGCTCCTGATTTCTGGGTTTGTGGCGGGGATGTGAATCAGTTTTTGTTCTGACTGAATTTGGGGTTCCTGTCTAACAAGTATATCTATTGAAATTAGGTACCCAAGCTGCGTTTCAAGCTGTGACGAACCACGTCATTCAGTTGGTATTAATGGAGAAAGAGCTGACTCTTTCCTCATTCAGCTCAGTGCGGAGGTGTTCTATGAGTAATGATACAGTTTTTTTCACTCAGAGATGTCTCCCCTGAACTGTCACTGTCTTTTGTTCCTTGGACAGGTCCCACTGCCTAGAGGGACCAAATGTCCAACAGCAGCTCCATCACCCAGTTCCTCCTCCTGGCATTTGCAGACACACGGGAGCTGCAGCTCTTATATTTCTGGCTCTTCCTGGCCATCTACCTGGCTGCCCTCCTGGGAAATGGCCTCATCATCACTGCCATAGCCTGTGACCACCGCCTCCACACCCCCATGTACTTCTTCCTCCTCAGCCTTTCTGTCCTTGACCTGGGCTGCATCTCCACCACTGTCCCCAAAGCCATGGCCAATTCCCTGTGGAACACCAGGACCATTTCCTACTCAGGATGTGCTGCCCAAGTATTTTTATTTTCCTTCTTGATTGGAGGAGAATATTATATCCTCACAGTCATGGCCTATGACCGCTACGTCCCATGTACTTCTTCCTCCTCAGCCTTTCTGTCCTTGACCTGGGCTGCATCTCCACCACTGTCCCCAAAGCCATGGCCAATTCCCTGTGGAACACCAGGACCATTTCCTACTCAGGATGTGCTGCCCAAGTATTTTTATTTTCCTTCTTGATTGGAGGAGAATATTATATCCTCACAGTCATGGCCTATGACCGCTACGTGGCCATCTGCAAACCCCTGCACTATGGGACCCTCATGGGCAGCAGAGCTTGTATCCACATGGCAGCAGCTGCACGGGCAGATCTTCAGGGCTGTGCTGAAGATCCCCTCTGAGCAAGGACGGCACAAAGCTTTTTCCACATGCCTGCCTCACCTGGCCGTGGTCTCCCTGTTCCTCAGCACTATATTGTTTGCTCACCTGAAGCCCCCCTCCATCTCCTCCCCATCTCTGGATGTTGTAGTGGCAGTGCTGTACTCAGTGGTGCCTCCAGCAGTGAACCCCCTCATCTACAGCATGAGGAACAAGGAGATCAAGGATACACTGAGAAAGCTGATTCAATCGGTATTCTTTCAACAGCAATAGGCTTCCTGTGTCTCTTCACAAGGGATTTCCAGTGTATCTTGTGAATCGCCTGTGCTTTGTGCTTTTAATCTCTGATGTTCATCTGTGTTTGGAAATGTCTGCATTCACTCCACTTCTCCAGAGGAATTAACAACATCTGTATGACCTTGAGGTCTTTGCACATGTGCCTGGCACATTGGTAAACCTGGCCTTCCATGTCACACTTCTGTAATAAAAGAGGATTTCCTCAGTGCTGGTGTCTGGAGTTTGGGTTCCTTTTCCAAAGCTGAGGTCAGGAACAGGGTAAAGAAATTGCCCCCCATGAGGCCCTCCTGCTGTGCTTGGGTTCTCCACGGGAGTAAGATGTTGTGGTGAAGGAAGCAAAGCAAAAAAGGTGCAGAAGAGAGGGGCCCAATCTGTGCCATGTTCCCTGGACACCCAGGGGAAGTTGCTCCAGAACTAGTGTCCCAGACTGGTTCCGCTCACTGACTGTTTCCATTCCTGGCCATACCCTCCTGCCCTGAGGAGTGACCTTTGCTGCACGGTCACCTCTGGCCTCCTCTGGGGCTCAGCGATACCCAGCTCCTCCACCATTATTGACAAAAAAGAAACTAGTTTCACATTGACATGCGAAGTCCCACAGCTTTTGCCACACCTGGACTGGCAACCAAGGCCGTTCTCAGACAGTTCCAGGTAAATGAGGGGCTCACGGCCCTGTTCCAACAAATTTTGAAATTCTCAGTTGATTAAGATATCACCAAGTGGCCTGGGTCCTCGCTCCAGTGTTTGGCTATAAGGGATTTCTTAAAAACTTAGCACTCTCAGCCTCTGCTTGTGATCTAAGGAGAGTTCACTTGTGCAACATCAATTTAATTCACTACAAATTAAAATAGATTTAGGTGGTGAGAAATTATGTCAAAAATATTAAAGAACATTTCCCAACACCAACCTCCCTTTTTCCCAGGCTCAAATGACTGCATCCCCAATTCTTCTACTCATCCTAGCCAGAGAGGAGCAGGGGGAATTGGGAATGGGGTTTTTGTTCAGTACCAGCAATGCTTTTCCTGATGCAGCCCAGGAAGCTGTTGGCATTTGCCGTGAGGGTACAATGATGGCTCATGCTCAGCTGCTTCTCCTCTGAAACCCCAAGGTCCTTCTCTGCAGAACTGCTCTCTGCCCAATTGGCCTTCAGCAGTATGTCCACAATATTGCTTGACCATATTCTCTCATGGGAACCTCACTCATCCTTATGTTGCCATTGTCCACCCCCTCCAGCCTGGCTCTGTTGGGAAGCAAAGCCTTTCCACTCAAGGGCTCCCATCTCTGGGTACCAAGTTTCCATGGGACAAGTCTGCCCTTGGCCCTGGTGCCACATCAGAGGTGCTGCAGCCCAAATGTGCACCACAGCCTGGGGCACAGAAAGCAGAGCCCCATGTGCCATGATAAAGCTGTGACACAAGTGGAATGAGAGCTGAGGTGGGGAAGGACAGCTCCCATGGTTTTGTGTTAGATGGAGGTACAAGGTCTACAGGAGAGACCCACAGGGATGATGAGGAGTAGGGGATGTCCTGAGTGTGACAGAGATGCTCAGATATATGGAGTTCTTCTATTGGACAGCAACAGGTTAGGTGAGACCTTGTGAGTGTGGGTCAGAGACAAGAAAAGTGGACATTGTGGTATGAATTAGTTGTGGTGTGACCCTGGTCTGTAAATAAACACCCAGAATTCACTACTCACTCTCCCCTTGCACACCTAGATGGACTGGGAAGAGAATCAGAAGTGACAGAAGCAATAAAACTCATGGATCAAGACAAAGGCAAGACAGGGCAAAGCAAAAGGTGTGTGTTCAAGCAAAGCAAAATGAAGAATTCATTCACTGCTTCCCATGGGCACACAGATTTTCAGCCATTTCCAGGAAAGCAGGGCTTCATCACGTGTGTCATTGGCATGGGAGGACAAACACCATGGGCTGAATGTTCTCTTTTCATCTTGCTTTCCTTGAGCTTTCATTGATGAGTACAATGTCCTATGTTACACCATACCCCTTTGGTCATTTTGGGTTAGCTGTCCCAGCTGTGTCGCCCCCAGACCACGAACTGTGGAGACAGAGTGTGAGAAAGAGAAAGCCTTCATGCTCTGCAAGGACTGCTCAGCAGTAAAAGCACTGCTGTGTTCTCAGTGCTGCTTTAGGAACAAATCCAAAGCACAGCACCATGAGGGCTCCTATGAAGAGAATTAACTCCATCCCAGCCAGACCCAGGACAGAGACAAGGGTCATAGAGTCAGGGTGAGGAGTGAATGAAGTCTATGTAAATGACCTGAGGAAATCTGTGGATCACAGACCCTGGCTTTTATGGGGAAATCAGTCTCCTTGGTTTTGACTGGACAGGGAAGGAAGGATGCACACTGTCCAGGGGCTTGTGGACAAGTTCCCAATGCCAAATGGGCAGCCCAGCCTGATGCTCACTAAGACCTGATACTGCCAAATGAGGGAGAGCTGGTCAGGGATGTGAAGACCAGTTGGCTGTAGTGAGCAGGAGACTGTGGTGTCCCTGAGCCCCGGGGATGTGGGGAAGGAAAAAAGCAGAACGTAGACCCTGGATACGAGGGTGTGAGATCCTGGCCTGTTGAGGGCATGGGCAGATGGAATCCAATGGGGGCAGGGGCTGGGCCCTCAGAGCATCCATAGACTTTCATGTCCCTGACCAGGATCACCTGGAGCCTCCACCCACACCTCTGTCCATGGGCCCAGGAGCACGACCATGGGCATGAGTTTCACCCCAGTAAGATCTATGCTGTACGTGTAGTGGTGTCCAGACACAGCCATAGACACAGCCGTGCCTCTCCATGGACCTTGTTGATCCAGACTTGCTGAGTCACTTCCCAGCCTGATTCTTTATGGGTTGTACAATGAAATGACACCGTAGCTTTCCATCTCCTATGGCCTTTCTGCTTCCCTTCTTCCCATCACTTGGTCAGGTTTTGGGAGGAGAAGGAAAAGCAGGTGAGGTTTCTGGATGCCAATGAATAAAAGAAGGGGAGTAAAACTGTTACCTTCTCTTTTCTCAGAGGCCTGAAGTCATCTGCAAGAACCTAAAAGCTCTGAAATTCTTCCACCTCTTTCGCTTTTAGCAGCTATGTTGAGAGGATCCAAGTCACAGGATTCGCTGACAATTTGCTCACAGCATTAAGCACCCCATGGTCTGGAGATATGTCGGTTCCTTATCTCTGGCCAAGAACATCCTTATGTCAACAACTGAGGGCTGTCTAATATTCTCCTACACAGTACCACCATACAAAGACTGGCTTCATTCTCCTGAAACCCCTGCCACAGGCACTCACAGGTCACTCTGAGGTTCCCAAGGCCTTCCCTTCTGCTCATTGAACAAGGCCATTTCCCTGTTTCTCCTCCCAGGGAAGCGCCCCAGCTCCTGAGCATCTCAATGACTCTCCACTGAACTCGCTACCAGCTGCACACATTTGCCTTCCTGTGGGGGGATGTCTCTGGCCAATGGACCAGCAGTCACTCAGGCCCAAGACTCCATACAGTATTGTACAGGTTGTCTAACGATGATGAGCATGGGTAGACAATCACCTCCCTCGCTCTTCTGCCAAGGCTGCTCTTTGTACCCCCCAGGACACTGCTGGCTGCCTTTGTTATCCGTTCCCATGGTGGGATCGTGTTTTGCCTTCTGTCCCCTGGCATCACCAGGGCCTTTTCTGCAGAGCAACTCCTCAGGCCCTGCCACTGCAGGATGTTGGTCTACTCCAGTTGCAGGACCTGGTCTTTGTCTAATCTGGGTTCTAGATAAAGGCTGTGTTAAACAGCACAAGGCTCAGGAGAGTCCCCTCTGCTGCCTAACAATGTCCCAGTATCTCCCAGTGGCCTCAAGGTAGGGTATGACCTCACTGCTCTCTCTTCATGATCCTCCAACTGGTTTTTTACCCACTTTTTTCTCTGTGCGTTCAATCCACGATGTCCTAATTTGGGTAGGAGAATATTGAGAGAGATGATGCCAAAAGTTTTACCAAAACTGAGGGAAATAACATCCACATTTTAGTCTCCTCATGCTCAATTGTAGACTGTCAATTTGTTGAAGCATGATTTACCCTTGGTCAGTTCATGTTGACTTTTCTTCTCTTTTAGATATCCAGAATTGATGGCACAATCCCACCAGTGTGAGCTTGTACAGCCTCTGGTTCCCTGGTTGCACCACTGGCCTCTTTCAAAAATAGATGCAACATTGTCTGATTCTCTCTCACGAGAGACCTCTGCCAATCTCATGACCTTTCAAAAGGGATATCTCCAAGAAATGTTGATTTTCTCCTCTTTCTTCACTCCCACTATTCGGCCTATTGTACCACTTAATCTCTCCAGCCTTTCAGATATTAGCAACAGTCCAGGATACGATGATCATTTCTGAAGTCATCTTCCCAGATGCAAACTGTCTAGGCAAAACCACTTTCAATTTTCCTCCAGGTTTCTCCTCCTTTTATTTTATTTTTTCATTCAAATATCTCTCACCTTCACAGCTGCTGCTTTGAGTGTCAGGGAATTAAAAACTTTCTTTTCTTTCATTAGGCTCATGATCTCTTTAGAAACCACTTTAATTATCTTCAGTCTATCATATTAAATCTGTCTATCTAAAACACTTCTGAGGAGATTATCCCTTGTAAACAGCCCAGCTAGTTAGAGGAGGCTTTTATTTAGCAAACGGTTACAGAGTGTGTTTTATTGTTTGTGAAACTTTAGCATGCCTTACTTTTCTTTCCTTACAAATAAGAAAAACTTTGTGCAGCCAGTTCTCTAAGGAGAGACGGTGGGAGCTGATGCAATGGAGCTGTTGCATCCAGCTGCAGAGTGCAGTGGAGAGGTCTGATGAAGGTGGCCAATGTCAGAAATGGTGAGGTTGGGCAGGTGAGGTGCAAAGTTGTCCATACAGTTTGAGATCTCAAGGTACAGCTTTTCCTACCTGCCAGACCCTCCTGAGGAGACATCC